GGGGACGCACCGGGCTGTAACTCTATGGTGAAGTCTACATTCCGATACGGTGGCAATCCTGGTAACTAATCTGAAAAGATGTCCGCATAGTCACACACGACTCGAGGTAGACCCAACTCATGTCTCACCTCGTCCTCCAGTGTAAGGCTAGCAAACCAACCTATTAACTGTCCATGTCATCGGGAGTCATATACGGCATGGGGTAAAACATTGTGCTTCTCCCCTTGAAACTTGAAACAAACCCCATATGAAGTGTAAGTCGTAACCCTCTTGCGCTCGCAATCAATGACGACCTTATGTGCCGCCAACCAATCCATCCTGAGTATGACAGCAAACTCCGTCATCTCGATAACCCTAAGATCAACGGTAAGCAGGGTTCCTTCGATCTCCAACTCACAACCCCAACATATCTTGTCAATAAAAACTCTGTCTCCTAGGGGTGAACTCATATACATGGGCTCCTCTAGATTCTCGGCCTCTAAGCCCAAGTCTCGTAGGCATGATGTAGCAATAAAAGAATGTGATGCACTAGAATCAAATAATACTCTAGTCCATAATCTAGAGAGAAGAAATGTACCTTGAATTACAGACTGATCTGCCGATAAAGTCTAAGGTGTGATGACAAAGACTCGCCCCTAGGTCTCGGAAGTCCCGGCTTGAAAGCCCTGTCCCCGGCCTCGGCCCATTCCTTGGCCCATCTGACCTGATTATGGAGTCCCTGCTTGTGAAGTGGTAGGGGCCTGTGTTGCATCCTGAAAACTGAAACTGATTTTCCTAGCCCTTGGTGGGATAGAGAGGATTGAAGTAGGTTTGTGGATGCCCCACTGATGACTAGGACTAAGATGCTCTATAGTTTTGAGATCCCTGTCTTTGAGGACACTCTCTCTTCAAGTGGCCTGGCTGGTGGCAATAGTAACATGTCCGTGGGCCTCCTTGTTGTGTGCCCTAGAATTCCTCCCGCTTTAGAAAGATTGACCATGGCCTTGGCCTTGACCCTGTACCTGTGATCCCTATGGGGTAGAAATCCTTTGTCTCTTCCCCGAGCTAGTAGTGGAGGATTGTCCCTCCTTCTTCCTGTCTTTTAATCCGGTCTCCCTAATACTCTTGGCGTCTTCCCGCTCTCTCTCTATAGCCATGACTGTCTTGACCATCTCGTCCAAGTCATGCAACCTGTGGCCAACAATCTTCCCACGGATGGATAGCTTTAGGCTATTCTCAAACCTTCGCACCTTGGCCAAATCAGTGGCCACGTAGTCATCTGCAAAACGTGTCAATTCTGTGAACTTGGCCATGTACTGCATAACTATCATCGCTCCTTACTTCAAGTTTAGAAATTCCTGGGCTTTGACTTCCCGAACAGCTGGTGGGAAATACTTTTTCATGAAGAGCTCTTGAAACTTTTCCCATGTCATCCTCCCGATGTCTATCGGCTTTGTCCATGTCCACCATTGATGGGCTTCTCCCTCAAACTGGAAAGTGGCCAACCTTATCTTAGTAGCATCGGATGCAATCTCCATTACCTCTAAAATTTTGTCCACCTGTTGGAACCAGTTGTCAGCTACCATCGGATCCCCTCTTCCTACAAAAGTCGGTGGGTTATGGGACCTAAACTTCTGGAGGTTGTTTGAGCCTTCTTGGCCCACATTTGCACTAACTTGTAAAAAGGTAGCAGTCATCGTACCCATAGCCTCCATAAGGCTTGTTGATCAAAAGTCGGTGGTGGTGATTGGTTATTCCGTCCACCCCGACGTCCCCTTCCTCTAGTTGCCATTTACACACACATAAGATAACAATAGATCAATAACTTAATATCCCAAAGTTATGGATAAAAAATTAAACAATAGAATATATACCTACTGACAGATGTCCAAACAGTAGGCTTACACATCCTTTCCTTTCCCAACTCTAAGGTTGTGTTTTCTAACCATAATGTCTCATTCCTATATACATTTAATCATGCATATAATTTCATGACACATAGCATGTAACATTTAACACATTTAACATGCAATGCAAAATGGATGCAATGACCTAGACCCATGCCTCGCAAGCCCTAGGTAAATCGAGAAACTAGGCTCTGATACCAAGCTAAGACACCCCAAAATTTGGGTGTCTTTAATTACTTGATTAATCACCTATCAACCCGCGAAATACCCGTAGATACCATGTAATTCGTTACCACACCGTTATGTCCCATTTATCGAGATCCATAACTTAACGAAATTTTGGCAGAATCTCCTTTGTACGAGGAACTATATCCAAAACATAACATGTGCAATCATATAACATTGACCACACCGGGCCCATTCATCCCTACTCCTTAGCATAGTATCAGATATTACTATAATCATCATCATTACGTACATTCATTCATAAAAGAATAAATGTCTCAAAAGAGTCCCTTATACATGCCTTTTAAATATAAACAAGTTTTTGTTACAAAAATTACACAAGACCAAAAATAAATATAAACAAGGGACTACAATGTCAAAAGAAGAGCCACAGACCGGCTCTGTCGTCAAAGCGGGTCCATGGCCTCGCCTTTGGTGGACGCCTGTGCAATACCTGAAAAATATTCCTATAAAGGGTAAGTCAACGCTCAATAGGGTAACTTCTATAGAGAATACCTCTCAACCTAAATGCATATGAAATATCACATGCAACAATCATTTCATGTAATCATTCAAATATGTTTATTATGAACAAATGCCATAAATCGTGTCATGCCATGAGATGAGACTCATTTAAGCAATACCAATACAGAGCCCCATCCTGAGTTTCCATAACACATGCAATGTCATGCGTATGTATCCGGGCATTCCAAGCCCCCCTCATTTGTGTTATGTACACTCAATAACTAATTAATTCATTTTCTTGTGTCTTTGTGGGGAGATGATTTATGATATTACACCAATGGGACACCAACCATCAACGAATTCTTAGGACATCCCACCTGCGGCTCCGTTTTGGCCGTTACACTTTTTTGGAATTTCACCGCCAGAAAGTGTATGAACCAAGTAAGCGGGTCTTGCACCCAAGGGAGAATCTAGCCCTTCTTGCTATCCCCGACACGTTTATCCATTTAATTTTTTGTGTGACTCAGCCAGACCTTGGTGCGACTTTTTCGAGCCCACAATCAACCAGCTCTGTGGTGATTGATTTCATACCATGCACACACTCCCACTCATGTCAATGCTCATGAATGTAATGTAACCCATGCATAATACAATTCAATGTGCAATTTCCTTTTGTACCATTTACAATGTCCATTACATAAAGAATACAATATAATGACATTTTCAACATGACAACATGTTTATTAATTCTATAAAATATAAGCACAAGTCCACCACAATAATCATTTAACATACATATTATTCCATAATCACATAACAAGCTAATAATTTTATTAAACTTAATATACCAAACATAAAATAATGCTAATGTACAATTAACATGTTTTAAACCACTAATATTAACTTATACCAAATTAATCATCATAGGATCTTTCTAATTACAAAGTTAATTATAAATCATATATTTAACTCACTAATTACATTAGTCAAGACCTAACATGTGATATACACTCATAGCTTACCCATTTCATATGCCATATTTTAAGTTGAAAGTAAATCTAAATAGGGGAAACCCTACCTCTCGTAGCATGAACTCACGTACTGGAACTTCGAGAAAGCCCAATTTAACTTCCCAAATTTTAGGCTAGATTGTCGTCTTTGATATTCTTTCAGAGAAAAATACGATATTTGGTGTGGTTGAGTAGCTCTCGCTGAGTAGAATAACTTTAATTCTTGGCCCGAAACGATTAAACGGTCTACTCTTCGTAGATCTGAAGAAGAAGAAATGAGGAAAATAAAGAAAAAAAAACTCTTTTCTCTCTCTCACTCACTCGGCAGTCGGCTGGAGGAAGAAAAAGTGGAAGACTAAAGTCTTCCACACTTATATATATATATATATATATAGTATAAATTTAAAGTTTAAAAATTTATGTTTTTAACCCTTTTATTTATAATTAATTATTATTTTACCCCTTTAATTTAGATTTTTAATAATAATAATAATAATTTTTTTTTCGGGTTTTACATTTATAGTATTGCAAGAAAACGTATTAAACGCTCTCAATTCATTTGCAATCACATGATTTTTTGATTTATAGCTATAACATTTTTTTCAAGTTATAACCTAAACTTAGGTTTTGATTTGCTATTTTAAGTAAGCGGCTAAACTCGAATTCTATATAACCCAAATTGAAATACTTAATATGTTGGTTTTACCCAAAAAAAATCCCAATGTTATTCAAATTCGAGTTGTTACTTATAAATTGTAATCTAAAATTAGTGATTTTGTATTCAACATGAGTTGAACCCGTTTTTACATCTCGGGTTGTGTAACTTGATAATAAAATTTTGGTTTTTAACTCCAATTGGACTCATTCCAACCCAAGTTGTATAATCCAAAATAATATTACACCCGAAGCATAAAACTTGAATTGAAAATTTTAAACATGAATAATACTCGAGATGAATGATTCAAGTTGAATTCGAATTTAGAATTTATAATTTTAGTGGAGCCTAAACTAATCTTTCAACCTGGCCCACCCGATCCAGTTACATACCTATCTATTAGGAATGTACATAATTCAAGGATAAAAGCATGCATATCGATTAAACCTAGATCTTACTATTTATTTTTTTTCCAACCACTAAAACTAACCAATGTGGACTCAAGAACTTTTTTGTTATTGTCTTGTAGCTTTTATTTGTTTTTGAAATTTTCAATAAGTGGTCGAAGCCATATCCTACCTCATTTTCGCACCTAATTTTTTTTTTTGGATAAATTTCTTTCTTTCATTCATTTACGTAGTATTGCTGGTATTACAATTAGAAAATAAAAGCACTTTCAAGTCACTAGGAACATTTGCAACAACTTCTCTTGGAACACCCCTGCTCAACTAGGATACTTCTACCTAGTGCTCTGGCTTATTAAGCCCTTGGAATAAAACTAAAGGACAAAAGCATTTTTCTTTTCAAGACTCTAATATCATCTGGTATGGCTGCAATTTCCCATGGTGGCATAGACTCCAAAACACTTAGTTGAACGACTTCTCTATTGTCACTCTCCACAGTTGCTTCAAATGATTTCATTGAAATCGCCATCAAGCACATTTCACAAATCGACATTGTTTCTGAATGGAGACTGGAAATAGCTGGAAAGGAAATAGCCCTACCATCGATTAGACGAGCTTATGCCTTCTAGCACTAATCCTCGCAGAAGCCAAAGAGGAGGAGGAGTTGTACGCTCCATCACATGTGAACTTCGATTTGTCAAGTGCTGGCGGAGACCACGTTGCTTTTCAAGTGAGATAATCCCCTCTTGAATCGGAGATGCTTCAAGTAGAGCTTGATAAGCAGTACACGATCTAGTTACTTTGTGGACCACAACTCTTGGATCTGGGTCCTTTAGTTCAAAGATTGCTTCATTAGAAGCCTTCCATATCCACCAACCTACATTTGTAATTCTGATGAGGAGACATAAAGCTTGATATCGATTGTCCATCTGTTCTAGAAGCGAGGTAGTCCATTGAACAAGCGGCACAAGGAACTGGTCATTAGGTTTGTACCCAAAATCCATCCCAAACCATACTATTCTAGTCCATTCACATTTAATAACATGTGTTCTACAGTTTCTTCACCTTATTTGCAAATTTGGCACAAGGCTTTTTGCACACTTTCTCTTATATAGATTACCTTTAGTTGCTATTGCATTGGTGCACGCTCTCCACCAAAAATGTTTCACTCTTGGGGTAGTATTGAGTTGCCAAATCCATTGCCACAACTTTGGATAAGGCATAAAGAATACACTAGCTTCAGAACACTGATAAGATTCACTTGCATACTTTGCAATAGAATACCCTAATCTTACTTTATAAATTCCTCTAGAATCATAGTGTCATGCTAAATGTCTCTGCCCTCTCTTTTGGATATTGAAATTGAGATAATGGTTTTACACTCATCCTCCGTTCATATTGACCTTAGTTTACTTATATCCCAATCCCTTGAAGTTAGGGTTAGGATATCCCCTACTGAGTTGATATTGCATTCAGGAGGCATAGGTGTAGAAAGAGAGAGAGAAAAAAGGCAGCTTAGGTATCCACTTATCCTTCTAGATGTTGATATTCGTCTCGTTACCCACCTGTCACCGCAATCCTTTTCTTATCAATTCTCTCCCAATTAGCAAGCATTGCCAAGTTCAGGAAGTTCGAGATCCTCTATTGACATCTAGAAAGTCGCTCTTTGGAAAGTAAATCGACTTGAGCATTACAGCCCAATAAGAGTGGGTATTACATATGAGTCTCCAACATTGTTTCGCCAAGAAAGCCTGATTAAAGCATTTGAAATCTCCAAATCCCATCCCTCCCATTGTTTTAGGTTTAGTCATAGTATCCCACTTTTTCTAGTTGATTTTCCTCTCTTCTTTTGTACTGCCCCCACCAAAATTGTTTGATGTAATAGTAAAATTTGTCATAGAAACTTTGAGGAAAAACAATGCAAGACATCGCAAAATTTGGGACAACTTGTAGAACAACTTTAATTAAGACCTCTTTCCCTGCTTGTGAAAGATAACGGTGTTTCCAGCACCCTTTCCAGAATATATCCTAGTGTTTGAGATTTTGACCTCCCCCAATAAGTTGGAATTCCTAAGTACTTCACATTTGTTGGTAATTGACCCATTCCTAAGGCCTAACAGAGCTCCATTTTTTGAGGCTCCTCCATATTATTGCAAAAAGATTCCTGATTTGTTGAGATTAATAGACTGACCTGAGGCTTGGCTAAACCTTTCTTGAATTCTCACCAAATTAACTCCTTCATGCACTACGGCTTTAGTAAAAAAATGGTGAGTCATCAACAAAGAAAATGTGAGATAAAGTAGGGCCCTTTTTTATGATTTTTATGTATGATAGTCTTCTCTGGTTAACCTCTTCATGCATCATCTTAGATAAAGAATCTGCCACCAGAAGAAAAAGATAATGGGAGAGGGGATCCCTCTATTTAATTCCTCTTTGAGGGAAAAGATTGCATCTTTTATCCCCATTCACCTCCACATTAAACTGGACAGCTAACACATTGCATCATTAGTTGAACCCACCTAGGATGAAACCTCATCCTAATCATGACAGCCTCAAGAAAATCTTATTCAACTTTGTCATAAGCTTTACTTAGATCCACTTTAATCGCCATAGAAATAGAGTTTTCTTTTCTTCTAGTTTTCAAGAAGTGAAGTGCCTCATTAGCTACAAGAATGCTATCATGTATTTGCCTATTGGGGACATATGCTGCTTGGTTGGGAGTTACAAGTTGGCTTAGGATTGGTTTGAGTCTATTTGTTAATACCTTTGATATAATTTTGTAACTAAAGTTGCATAAAGATATGAGTCTAATTGTTCTTTAGGGATTAAGACTATGTTAGTTTCATTCAATTGTCTAAGCATAAAGTCCCTTTCAAAGAAAATGTTTACTGCCTTACACATATCTGGACCTATAATGTTCTAGAATTTGTGGAAAAAAATACCTGAAAAACCATCAGGGTTTGGAGCTTTGATTGGTCTAAGTTGCTTGCATGCTCTGTGTATCTCTTCATCAGAGATTTGTCTCAAGAGATCTTGATTTATGTCTTCGGACATAATTGGTTTGATAACCCTTAGGACTTCCTCCATATCCTATGCTTTATTGGATTTGTAAAGCAGGCTAAAATAACTTTCAAACATTGTACCTAAGTCTTCTTCATCTTCAACCCACACTCTTTCTTTGCTTTTCAATCTTAGAATTTGATTTCTCTGCCTCCGCTGGATTGTAGTCATATGGAAAAACTTTGTATTCTGGTCCCCTACCTTTAGCCAATTCAACCTTGATCGCTGCATCCAATATTGTTCTTCGTTTCACCCAACTTCATCAATCTTGGATAGCACCTTTGTCTGAGCTTGAAGATTCTGCTTAGTTGGTTCTGACTATTGGACCTTGGCTAGTTCACTTTGTAACTAAGCAAGAAGCTTCTTGTTTTCCCCAAAGGTCTTCTTACTCCGACCTTTTAAGACAATACTGCACTTTCTCAGTTTCTATTTGATTACAAACATATTGGAGCCATTTGTCTCATGACTCTAGCTTTGACTAATTATATCCCCACATTCTAAACTCCAGTCACATTGTCTCAAATGTTAAAGTATAATGGTTTTCTCTTGGGTGAGAAGTCCAAGTCAATCAAAATTGGACAGTGATCAGAGCCTATTCTTGGCTAATGAAGGACTTGTGCATAAGGAAAGATGTGATGCCAATCTGGGCTAACAATAACTCTATCGATATGTTCCTAGACATTGATCTTCTCTGACTTGTTGTTTGACTAGGTAAACCTTGGTCCCTTGAAATCAAGCTCCATAACTCTACATTCATTAATCAAAAGAAGTATCTCCTTAGCCTTCTCTGAACCATTCTTTTTTCCATAATGATCCAACTGCGTTGAAATCTCTAGTAATTAATTAGGGGAGTGAATTACCCTGAAATAAAGACTTTAAGATTTTCCACACCTTTGGCCTCATGGCAAAAATAAGATCTGTGTAGATAAATGTAGACCTCCACATAGTTGGTGGATTTTTTATTATGCAAATCGTGTTGATTATGTTCTTGTTGGCTCCTTTAATGTCTAACTTGTTAATCTTCTGTCCACTAGAGTGCAAGGCCCCCTAACAAAACAATTGATGGAACATAGAAGGACTTTGGATAACCAAATCTTATTTGTAACCTTTCTAAACTCATGTTTTTTTTTATTCCTGGGCGATGGGAGTCGATCAACCCCTCAGCATGCGAACTGTCTGGGGTCATCCTACTCCTTGACAGTTCCAAGCTAGAAGTAACACGGTTCGTGTGGCTGTTCGAGACTTGCCATCACCACTACTTTTGATGATGTGGGAATTCATTCCGGTAGAGAACTTTGAACATAAGATACCCACTGACTCATGCTTTGATTCATATCACTTTCATCGTGATGTTCCACTTCTACTACTCCTTGAACCATTGGTTCATCTTCTACTCTCACCTGTACTTCCACCAATTGTTCATGAACAATATCCATGGCTGATTGTATTAATCTCTTCCTCTGAACTTTGTCCGCTCTCTACTTTGCTCCTGATGAGTATTTTTTGGACATCTTTTCACACCTTTGTAAAGTCATCTTACTATCAGCATCCTCTCCTCTTCCTAGTGAAAAATTTATAATGAGAGGAGGTAATTCCTTCTTTTTTGTTTCTTATTATAGATTTCCATCTCCTGGTTGAGATAATCAACATCTTCTAATTTCCTCTTCAGGTTCGTCCTTCCAAAATTTGTTACCAAAGTTCTATTTTCTTAGATTTTGTCTGTTTCTAGTGGCATAGATAGCTGGGGACTTTCTTGTTGATATTCATCTAGGGTAATGCAACCTATGGGAAAGTGTACAAGAGATTCTGAGAAATTTGTTTTGAGATTTCTGGGGGTTCAGTGACAAAATAGATAGGCTTGGGTCTGGGAGAAGTCTTACCTAAGACCATCAATGTTTTTTAGGACTAGGGGAATCTTTTGGATAGAACTCCAAATTCACCCTATAATTGACAATTGCCTTCAACAGGTTCTAGTAAGATTTCACATAAACCCTTGTTGATTTTCACTTGCTTCAAGTTCAAAGGTTTCTTTATAATACCACTTTCTTCAACTTGACTAGTCGCTTGTGGAGAAGGTTGTGCAACTCTGATTTTTGCTATCATAGCACTCTTATTCTTTGTTTGAAAATTTGATACCAAAGTCTTATCTCCATTACTATGCCCTTTCAGCCTTCCCAAAGAAGCGCTACTTTCACCATGAACCAGGGACCAGTGGTCTCTAAAAAAGGCCTTAGACTGAGTTGGGGTGGCTCTCAGATCTGAACCATATGCATTTACTGACTTTTTTTCAATAACTTTCTCTGGGCAAGAACCGCAAATGTGTCCAATTTTTCCACAACAATAACAAAAATTAGATAATCTCTTGTATAAGAAAGAAATCCACATATCTTCAAGATTCTTCCTCATTAAGAAAAAGCCCTTCTTCAGAGGTTCATTGATGTTAATGCAGAATCTTACATGTAGGTAGTTATGGTCCAAAATCAGATCTTCCTCTATTTCCTCTACCTAAGTGCATTCCCCCAAAATTTGGCCTTCTCTCTATGCTTTGTTTTTTGTCATCATATCTAAAAGCAAACCCCAAATCTAGACCCAAAACTCCACCATATTAAACTAGTAGTCCCAAACAATAGATTGAGGTTGGCATTTCCTTAGCACAAGTAAATATCACACAGTCAAACAAGGACCTTTATTGAGAATTTTATTCCTATCACCTTCATCCTTTTCCCAATGGGTAATCAAAAAACCTTTCTTCGTCTTCCAAGCAGCCAAGATGACATTGTTTACCCCTTGTTTATTGAGAACTAATTTTTGAGAAAATCTTACCTAATGAGAATGAACTGTTTAATCTCTTCAGAGTTTGAAACCTTTGTGAACAAAGACAATATGTGATAGTTATCCCTATGGGATTGCTCCTCTTGTTCTATTATGGTTTTTGGTGGTTATAGAATGGCTTGAAAGACGATAAGGGTTCTTGGTAAGGAGAAAATAGAGAAGACAAAGAGATTAAGAATACCTAAGCAAATTTTGGTTTAAGAGAAGCTAAAGTTAGATTTGATTGTTTGATTTAGGTAGTAAGGTGTAGGATGTAGCATGTGTATCAGATGACAAAGAAATAGGGAGGTCATTAAGGCATTGATTGATGAAAGGAAGATTTAGGGTTGTAATGAGGTAGGTAAGACAAAACATCAAGAGAACATTAGGGTTTATGGTTGGGTAGATATATCAGGAGTTAGAGAAGAAAAAATCATATTTAGGTATCACGAGGGTTGGGTAATTGGAAGAAAGGTGCTTCTGTGCTTAGGGATGTGAGATAACTAGGGTTTTGTGGCAAGGAGGTGGCTACCTTGGAGAAATCAGGAAAACCAAGAAGAGAATATTCCCGAGGAGCCAATATTTTTTTCCTTTTGGTGATTAGCTTATAAATCTAACATTGAGCACTACATATCTTACTATATATGTTATTGAGGAACAGTGTGAATCTTTTTTTATGAATGGGGTTGTAGGAGAAGTTGGGTCCTATTTAGTTTGCATCTTAAAAAATAGTATCTTAAAAATTATTTTTGAAAATTTTTTTAGAAAACTGTGCTTTGGTATTTTTTGTATCATATAACTTGTTTTGTTATATGCTTCTAAAAATAGTTCTATAAAATAGAAAACAGTAAAACTTGTTGGACATTAACTCATAAAACAAATGAAAAAAGAAATGTGGTAGTTGTGGGAATGTGGTGGTGGTGGTATTTTCTAAATTCTAAAAAAGTTATTTCAAAAAACATACAAAACAGTTCTAATTTGTTCTCTAAATCTGCCTATTTTTTGTTTTTAGTTTTCAAAAAATAAAAACAAAAAACAACTAGTCAATAACTTTTTTCCTAGAAACTGTTTTCGAAAATTAATTTTTTTTTTTTTGAGATGCAACCCAAATAGGACTCTGATTTTATGTAATTATCTTTCTATTGTCTTTTGCCATTTAGGAAATATATTCAACCAAATTTCTGATTCGTTTGATATATGGATTCTTTAGATATCTACTATGTTTTAAGCTCTTCTCGACTTTAGAAATAATTGATAATAATTTTTGAAAATAAATATTGTAATTAGGGTTCCGAAAAGTACCCAAAAAAAATCGTGCATCGACAAGTATTCACCCTAATCTGAGTTAATGGGAAAGTGGTCCATATGATTCGTGTTGAAGTCAATTGACAATTCAACAACTATAATTAGATTGACAAAATCAAACCCAATTATAATTACTACTTGAAACTGATGGTGATCAAAATTAATTGGACTGGGTTGTAGAATAGACTTGAGTGAAGTTCAACGAGTGTACGGGTATCTGGGAGAACGTGAATGTGAAAGTGTATGCTACCTATATTCTACAAGAGGAAGATAAAATATGAATAGTTCATCTTAGCCGAAGGACTAAAGTTACGTCTACTGTAAGGGAGACTCCTACTTTTTGACATTGTATTGATTAGGGAAGAAGATTGCGATTACAGAGTGTTTGGCTTGAGGCTTTTACAAGATGTTGCCTAAGTTTTACTTGGTGACTTTTCAGAATGGCTCTCTCGTGCATTATAGCCCTGTTGGCTATTTATACAACTAGTAGTTAGTGTTTCGTGTTTATCCTTTTTGGCCAATTTGTGGTCCCTTCTGTGTTTATCTTTGTCCTAGAGTTGTGGTCCACAAAACCTTTCTACACTCATTACTCATCGACTGTAGTACTTGATTTGTCTCCACTACCTACAGGTTTTTGTTCATCAGAGCCGTCAGATAATATTTTTCTTATCCTCTGTTCACGCGTCATGCTACAGCTTTTGCAAATTGGCTTTGTACGGGGCTCCTAAGTTCCGAGCTTGTTACTCTGAATTTCTCTGCAACCGATTTGTGGCCCAATTGTGCTCAAGAAAGCTTGTTTGGGAGAGCAACTTGGACCACTTTCTACAAGCCCAAAATGTCTTGGGCTCTCAAGGCGTCGAACTTAAACCAATCATTATAAAAAACTAAAGCCATAATGCTCTATATCTCTTAATAATATGCAAGACATTTTTTTTTATCTTCGTGCTTTGTTGTTAAAAATTCACAATATATTTTTGAAAATAATCTTTTATTGTTAATAGTATACAATATAATAGGTGAATTGACACAAAATAAAATTAATTCAAAAATATGACTGTAGTTGTAGGTATTACGTAGGTGGATTTGATTAAGAGGTTAAGTCAAGTTTAATTAAAATAATAAAATCTACATTTTAAGTTTTATTCTAAAATCTTCAACTCAATTATCATCCATATTTAAAAAATGAAACTTGGTGTACATAATTCAGATTAATATTTGAGTTCAATTCGGTTTAAAATTAGATTTAATTAGAGTTTTACAATTTAGGATAAATTCAAAATAAAAATTCACTAATCTGTATTGGAAATGCTTGAAATAGATTGATTCCCAAAAGCTTGAAATATTAATTCAAAGTATTCTCTAAATTCAAATCTGAATATTTTTTTTTATTGAATCGAATTCGGATATCCGTCAAGTTTCGCCCATGACCCATGGACCCATGTAACCCATGCAATAGCAAAAAACAAGAGGGCGCGTGGCAGCTCGTGTGGCAGATGATGCGATAAATACAAGTCTTACTCCAGCAGTTACTTTCCTCTTTCCGTCTCTTTAGGGATTGGCCGTGTCCCGCAAACCCTCCGAATCAACATAAGAAAAACTCGTCCGAAAATGGTTTGATTCTCCGGCGAAAGTCTCCGTCGACCTATCGTCTCCGTCACTCGTCACGCGGATCCGGTAATTCTGCTTTGATTTCACTCTCTGCAGTTCACTAATTGTTCAGACTCTCGATTAGCTATTCAGATCAAGACTTATTTGTTAGCTCGTAATCTTGAAACTTAGCTTCAATCTGTTCAATTTTCTTGGTCTGAGTTCTGTATTTCAGCTCTCTTTATCAATGTAATTGACGTTTCTTGGTGTTTGGTTTTTCGAAATTATGAATCACTTGTTTGTATATGTTTCGGTGTGCTTGTTGATCTATTAGCACATTTTTTCGTTTCGGAAAATTCGAAGTAAGCTTAAACGGATTGCATAAACTGGGATACGTGCAGATTACATAAGACAGCACAGTTGCAAGGGAAGTCAATTTTTTTCCCCGGAAAGTAAATGGAAAATAAAATTGTAAACGACAAAAGCTTAAATCTCAGATATGCAACTAATCTCACTCAGCAAGCTAACAAAATTATTGGCTGAAATTCTAGTCCACCTGACCCCTTCAGAAAGCCAAGGAGTAACTAGCTAATCTTTTACTCAATCTGGCACTTCGTGCAAGTCTAACCATCAAATTTAGTTTTGTTTATGCTGATGGATGTTAATATTTGTAAAACATAGTGTTGTGCGCACACAATGCGAACAGATCTCGGAGTGACTGGAGTTTTTCATGCACTGGACTATTTTTATTTGTTTTTAAAAAAATCTATTTTTGATGTGCTCATTCAGTTATTCAAAGAATCCCGTGTCTTAGCCTGATGTATTAACCTTTTCCAGATTGTCTAGGTAGGATCTTTAATTCTTGGTGTTTTCGAACTTTGTTTGTAAGATGTGATTGATAATTCTACTCTTTTTGGAAAACAATCGAGAGGAAACATTGGAAATGTGAACTTGTTGGAGGCGTTGCAGTTCTATTGTATTTCTTGACCTTACTTGCTGCTTTTTGGCACCATTTATCAAACCTCTCATGTAATGACGAATTGAACATAGGTGATTTGATCGCATTACTATGCCTGAAGTACTCCCATGTGAGATCTTCATCATGCAACTTATTCACTTTAGGCTACACAATTTTTTTTTTGTTACAATAGAATCCAAAAACAATGCTCTGTGATTTGGAAACTTTTTTAAGATTTCATGAGGCAAAGATATTTATATTCGTTCATTTATATTGTTCAAGTCGAGGAAACATCTTCTTTGCATGTTGGGGTAAGGCTGTGTATATCTGATCCTCCTTGGACCCCACAATGGTAAGAGGCTCGTAGAGTGGGCCGCCCTTTTTCTATATTGTTCGATTAGTTCTAGCTTGTTCATTGCAGATACAAAATTGGACATTCATTATTTTATTATTCTTTTGAGGGAATAGGTTTATTTGTTTATGTTTCGTCCAGGGCTTCTCTGTCATGGAAGATACTCAGTCGGTTGTCACACTCATAGACTCTACAACCTCAAAGATACAACAACTTCAGAAAGCGTTTGCTGAGCTTGAAAGTCACCGAGCCGTTACGCTTAACCTGAAATGGAAACAGCTTGAAGAACATTTTCATGGGCTTGAGAAGTCCTTGAAAAGGCGTTTTAATGAATTGGAAGACCAAGAAAAAGAATATGAGACCAAAACAGTTAAAGCAAAAGAGTTGTTGGAAAAGCGTGAAGCTGCAGTTGTGGCCAAGGAACAAGCTTCATTGGAGAGGCTCCAAGAGACTAGAGATGCTGCACTCTTTGCAATTGTTAATGGTGTGGAGAAGCATTCAAAGGCATCTTCTGTCGAATCTGCTGCTGATAGCCAGGACCAATTTGGGGAATCTGTCGTGGAAGAGAAACCAGCTGATGCCGTGGCTACTGAAAGTGTCTTAGAAGACATGAAAAAGCCTTCTGAAAATTACAACGTGGAGGTGAGGTTATATCCTCAGCTAGTCAAATTATGCCAGGAGATGGATTCAGAAGGTGTCCACAAATTCATATCAGACAATCGTAAGAATCTTGCTGCTCTAAGGGAGGAAATTCCCACTGCATTAAGGGCAGCAGTTGACCCTGCTTGTCTGGTTTTGGACTCACTCAAGGATTTCTACAACTCAGAACTGTCGAATGTGGATGGGAAAAAGGATTCAAATCTCTTAGGTCTACGCCGAACCTGCATTATGTTGATGGAGTGTCTCGGCCTTTTATTAACTGACCCAGATCTGGATTTTGCTTCTGGCATGGTCTCTGAAAATGTTAAGGAACGAGCAAAGGCTATTGCCGAAGAGTGGAAACCAAGATTGGCTGAACTTGACGTGGATGCCAGCAGTGGAAACTCCTTGGAGGCTCATGCATTCTTGCAACTTCTTGCTACTTTTGGTGTCAATTCTAATTTTGACCAGGAAGATTTATCCAAGCTAATACCTATGGTTTCACGTCGTCGGCAAACAGCTGATCTTTGTCGCTCCCTTGGATTGACAGATAAAATGCCAGGTTGGTTCTTTGTTTATCGTTAGTTATTTGCCTCCTTTATAATCTTTTTCTTTTGTTCTGTTTTTTGCCCTCTTCTTCTTCTTCTTCTTTGTGTTTTTTTGGGAAGGGGGAGGGGTGGAGAAGGGAAGGATTTGTGGGAATAGAACGTGTATAAAGTGTGTAGTGTGTACTGTGTAGTATTTGTTTTATCAGATAGACTTATGTTAAAACTGATCATAAACTTTATATGGTCTAACGTTCGATATAGTTGGGTCTGCAGGCCACTGTGGGGGTAACTTGTTCGCGTATCTTGTTCCATTTATTCTTCTATAAGCTACACTGTGACGGTCATTGTGTGTAAACTTGAGTCAGCAGCATGAGTGCTTGCTGTTTATGAAAGTAGTTATACTAAAGGAACATGTTAAGAAAGCATTCCATGGGCTTCATATTGGTACATGTCTATTAAAGACATGTTGGATGTGCTTCGTACCAATGGCTATATTGTACGGTATCCTGCATGACTGTATGCTGTAGTATCCATATAATATATGACCCAAAAATAACAGAAGCTTTTATTTTTCCTTAAAAATATTTTGTATTGACCTCTTGAGGATAAGTGTTTTTTATGTTAACCTTTCCCTCACCCCCACTGCAGGAGGCCCTTTCTTTCTTATTTTTTGGGGACCTAAAATTGCATCCAGAATGAAGAGTGATGGGTTATTTATTGATGGTAATGTCGATAGAGGTTGGAGAGTGATCGAAATTAACCTCAAATGAGATAGTAGAAAATGATATAATAGCCCATCTTTTAAACAAAAATAACACTTGATAGAGCACAAACCGGAATAGGATTTATGTAGTAGACCTCAAACAGTTGGAATAAGATTTTGTTGAATTGAGTTGAGAGTTATAATTTAAGTCTCGAATAGTATCCTTGAGTCTTTCTTTTTGTTGCCTTCAGTGTAAAAAACCATGAATTTCTAATTTATTAAAGATCATGAAGGTGTACCATGTTTTATTGATGGTAATGTCAGTAGAGGTCGGAGAGAGATCAGAATGAGATAGTAGAAAGCAGTGTTTTGAAAAGCTCGCCTAGGCGAGAAGCGAGGCGAGGCGAGCTTATCTCGCCTGGAGGACCCCAGGCGAAGCGAACGTGAGCGAAGCGAGAAAAAAGCGAGAAAAAGCGAAAAAGCGAAAAAGCGAAGAAGCGAAAAAGCGAACGCTTTATTATAAAAAGCGATTTTGCTTCACTCTTTTTTTTTTTTTTTTTTTTGATTACAGGTTAGTAGTCTCTTTTATTTTTTAATCACTATGACTTTTTTTTTAGACTATTGCTGGTCTATTTTTTTTTTTTTCTAATAAACAATGTTTCGAACAAAACATATTCCTTTTTTTTCCTTGTGTTGCTGAATTCATTTAGAATATTTGTGGGATGTGGGAGTCAGGCGACTACACTCCATGACAATTATGATAAAAAAATAAAGTAGGAGTATCAGAAATGGGGGTAAATAATAAATTCTTCTACAAAGAAGTGTCTCTGATATGTCTTGGTTATACTTTTCTCTTTTCTTATATATATACAAATGGTACCAAAAAGTGGTCTATGCTTATACCATGTTTAATTATTTTAGTACATGTGAAATGTGCCTCTGTTCTGCTTTTTTTTATTCAGTATATAATTACATATGAAATTGTTTACAATTAATTCTGCTCCTGTCATGATCATTGTGCTTCTGTTTTTTTTTTAGCTCATTCTGCTTCTATTTTTTTTTGTTGATTCTGTTGCTGCTTCGATTTTGCTGTCCTGTGTTGCTTTTGTTTTTTTTTAATTGTCATTCTGCTTTTTTTTTTTTTTGTTGCTAATTCTGTTGTTGTCCTGATTCTGCTTCTTTTGTTGTCCTACCCTGTCAATATGAAAATGTATACAATTGTTAGTATTTGTTTGAATTTAAATGTTTAAATTATGAATGTTATTAAGATTTGAGATATTATTAGTGTTTTTTTTAATTTAAATGTTTATGGTTTTACTTGCATTTAAATATTTAGTATATATAAAATTAGAACTTAGATTGTTTAGAAGTAATGAAACTAAAATATATATTTTTTTTAACTGTTCGCTTTGCTTCGGTAAAGCGTGCCGCTTCGCTTTTCGCTTCTCGCCTAGGCGTTAGGAGCCTTGGTCGCTTCGGTTCGCTTTACGCCTTAAATAACACTGGTAGAAAGTAATATCATAGTCCATGGCATAACTGAAACTGATAGGTTGATAAAGTACTAAGCGGAATAGGATTCATGTAGCCGACCTCTAATAGTTGGAATAAGCTTTGTTGAGTTGAGGGTAGCATCTAAGTCTTGAAAATTATCCCGAGTTTTTTTCTGTTGCTTTTAGTGTAAAAATTCACGAATGTCTAAATTTTTTAAGATCATAACGATGTTACTGTGTTCCTGAGTCCTTTTGTGATGATACCAGCCATCAAAGAGCGGACCACCTTTTCTTATCTCTTGTAGATGTGTAAACTCAGAATACTTGGATGACAGCTTTGGATTTAGATCCATGCTGCCAGAGCCTGAAATAGGTGCTTTGTGGCCTGTGCCAATCAGCAAAGTACAAAAGAACAAAAGCAGGTGCTATTTTTTTTGTAGTTATCTGATTTGCTGGAGCAGCCATAATAAAGAGGTCCATCAGAAATAAATTAGATTTAGAGAAAGAATGCCTTACCCTTATAATGATCTTTCAAATTCTTTTTGGCTGACTAAAGTCACTAAATACTAATAAAGTAAGCCTTTAGGTTATCATTTTATTAACCTTCACATTTGCATTTGGGATTCTAGGAGTGCAACCTGAATAAAATTTTTCTTGATGTATTCAGAATATACATTGTCACAGAATTTGAAGATTTTTTCCGTGGCTTACTGCGTTCTGCTTTGACTCTTCAGGTGTAATTGATGTGTTGGTGAATAATGGGAGGCAGATTGATGCTGTTAATTTAGCTTTTGCATTTGAGCTTACAGAGCAGTTTACCCCCGTCTCATTACTGAAATGCTACTTGGCAGAGGCAAAGAAAGTGTCTTCACCTGTTAAACCTGGCAATACATCTCCTAGTGTACAGGTTTGTCCTTCTGATTGTGTTAGATGAGGTGTAATTTTTTTTGTGCTTTCTGAAAATTGCAACTAGCAGTCAACATAGTTGAATGGAATTTCATGCTAGACACTACGTAGATGGGATATGCATACATGAACCGGAAGTGTAATTACCCAGGATCTCATTGTACATGGGGGTGGTGTAGTCACCTCACTCAATTATGATTTGTGACACTAAACTTTCTACAACTTGTTAGAGCATCTAACCCAAAACCAGTTGACAATGGGAGGAGTGCACGTCAAGTATATACTTCAATTGTGGGTGAAAGTCCCGCCCTCCCTCATTGGTCATAGGTTTGAACCTACTTGTAATAGTAGTCTCTATGAACTAGATACTGTTGGAAAGGCTGAATGTCCAGCTTGCCTTCAGTGGTGCTGGGGTGATGGGCTCGACTATCTCAGTTTAGTAGCTATGGCTCAAACCTAACATTCTACAGCGGGTGGGAACCTCAAGGTAATGTCCTGAGGGGATACTATGCCTGGTCGCCCCTAGCCACCTTTTTTTCCCAGCAAAAAAAAAAAAAAAACTATTCTTTGTAGGATACGGGCTCTCTTAAGAGTGACTATATTGCAAAATTAACACTTTCCATTGGATTTGATGGCGTGTGCATTGGGCGTGTCTTCTTCCTCATCCACTCCACCCACTACCATCTCACACCCACCTGCTGCTGACACCACACTGCACCCGCCCACATCACCATCACCCATGACAACCCACCCACCACCAGTTCCACCACCATCACACATACCACACTTACCCACCCATTACCACCATTACACAAAAAGCATCCATCCAGCACCATGTCATATACAAAGTCACCCACGGCCTCTCCCTATCTCCATTATCTTCTCTTCTATTCAGGAATGGTATTGGTAGTTGGCATGATGTTGATTTGGTTTGCCCTTAAACTGCTGCTGTCATGTGTTTTCTGGAACAGGGTTGCATGTAGTCTTCTGATTTGGCATAAGGAGTTGTGGCTAGCTTCTCTGCTGTGGGTTGTACAATTCATAACACTTCACAGATACTTATTCACAAATTCACAAGTAGTTAATATAATGCTTACACTTACAAATACAAGCTCACATATTTGCCAAAATGCTTCAGAAATAAAAGTGGAAGAGAGGATAATTCATCTCATGGCTACCCGTTTATGGAACTTGCATCTATTTTGACTCTGAGGATCGATTTTCAAATATGCTTGGCCTCAACCTGCAAAGAAGCAAAGTAGTTAATTGAGAAAATTAAGAGGCTCGTAATAAATTTCTCTCCTTCTCTCTCTCTCCACTGCCCCCCCCACCCCCCCAAAAAAAAAAAACCCTCAACAACAAACACAAAGATACACATGTATCTGCACTAGAGAATTATGTTGGAAGTTTCGCATATGGAAGTATTTGGACCCACTTAGTAAAATGTGGGCTGATGAGATAATCTTTCCATTGTGCAAGAATCTCTTCCTTTTTTTTTTTTTTTTGATAGGTAACTTTGTGAAAGCATCTTGACTAGTCTAATGCTTTTTCTGATGTTACAGATTGAAGTCAATGAAAGGGAGCTGATTGCACTTAAGGCTGTGATCAAATGCATCGAAGACCACAAGCTTGAGGAACATTATCCCTTGGACCCGCTCCAAAAACAGGTTCTCCAGCTTGAGAAGGCGAAGGCAGACAAGAAAAGGGCAACAGAAGTTGCAAAACCTCAACCCAAAAGACCCCGAGCTAATGGTGTAGGATATGGACCCAGAGTCACTAATGTAGCCACTGACAAGAACTTCTATGCCAGAATTACTGATAGTAGGTATCCTCAGTACATGTACGACAGGCCTTATGCTTACCTCAGACCATCTGACAACCATGTTCCTTCATTTGTGGGTGCGGCGACTTACAACCTATCTCCTGCTCATGGCAACTACTTTGGCAATGGCTACCAGTACCAGGCCCCTTATATGCACTAATTAGTAGGATGGTGGAGCTTTGATTATGATCCTGTTAACTTTTAGTGTTAACCTTTGAGTTTGTTGGACGTTGGGCTGTATGATCAAATTTAATACTTAAAAAAAAACAACGGAAAAAACTTAGCCTTGTTGATTCCTCATCTGTTGTAAAAGTTGATATTGTGATCCTTTAATAGCGCACTGTTTTTCATATTTATTGCATCAACTTATCTCTGTTTAGGTTGTATTCTCCCTTGGCTATTCTTCCATGGTTTCAAATTGCGGCATGTCTATTGATGTATTTGTACCAGGAAAATGTTGAATATCTGTTGGTCTAAGATTTATTGTTCTGTCTACGCATATGGGTGCTGTGTTAGATATTGCCATCTTGGAACGAAAATGTGGATACAGAGATTTATTCGTACGGTGCAGGATGTTCAAGCTTAAGCTTGATGGGCAGGTGCATACAACTCTTTGAGAAAACCGTTTACCTTGACTTGATTTGAGCTTATGTACAGGGATATGAGCTTAAGCTGGTGGATAACCCTCAAGTAGAAGGCATAAAGAGAGAACCTCTCTTCCCTTCTAAAAGCCACCGTCTTTTGGATCTGTGCAATGGTGTATGATGGTCTTAATTTCATCACTTCTGGAACTGATTTGGTGAGGGCTTTTCCTTTCGATTGCGAATTTGAACTTTAGTCCCATCCCATGTTCGAGGTTCTTGTAGAGTTTTTGTAAGTCAACACTACAGAGTTTGAGAAAGATCTGAAATACGTACTTGTACGTATATAGGTTTTATTTTCGTTATTAAACCCCCTGATGCTTAGATCAAATTATGGTTGCTGCGCTAAGATCCACCCATTAATTTGTATATAGATGAAGAACCAATTATTTTTACACTTGGGTGGTTATTATTTATTTTTTCAAAGGTTCGAAAGAGTTTTTCCTACTCAAAATAAGAATCTGTGAATATATGGACTCAAAAAAAGAATCTATAAAAAAAATTATTTAAATTTAGTTTGTTAATTAATTTTTTTATAGACTTAATATATCATAGTCATTGAGTTGTTAACTGATGATACTCAGAAGAAATCCCAAGAATGAACTCGGGTATGGAGGTCAGACTAGGAGAGCGAGGGCAATCGTCTTTGACGATGGAAAACAATTCGACAACTCAAAGTTTAAAAAATTCTGTGCTAAGTTAGGTATAAAGAATTAGTTTTTAGCTCCAGCTCACCCTCAGTCCAATGGACAAGTAGAGGTCACTATCCGAACTATAAAGGCAGCTTTGAAAACTAAATTGGAGGCTTTAAAGGGAAAAATAGTAGAGCACATCCCAGAAGTATTATGAGCCTACAGGACAATTGCCAGTTCAGTAACTCAGGAAACGCCCTATGCTCTGGCATTTGGAACCGAAGTGGTGGCGCCCGTGGAAGTAGGAATCCCGTCTCTTAGGGCAAAGCTCGCAGAATCAGAACATAACGATGAATCACTTCTACTGAACCTTGATCTCTTCGATGAAAAGAGGGATGGAGCCCTGCAGCGCATTAAAAGCTACCAAAGGAAGACATCGAGATACTATGACAGGAGGGTCAGACACAGAAGTTTTAAAATTAAGGATCTAGTACTTAGGAGGCTCCTGCTTGCAAGAAAGGACTCCACTCACGGAAAATTGGGTCCTAATTGAGAATGTCCCTACATTGTCGCAAGAGTGGTAAGGCCTAGAAACTACGAGTTACAAACAAAAGAGGGCCAGGTTCTGCCTCATTCATGAAACGCAGAGCATCTTAAGAAGTTTTTTCAGTAAATTTCCTTTTGTAATAAGATAGTTCTTGATAAAACAACATGTTCTGATTCATCCCCGCGTGACCCCTTGGAGTAGCTAAGAAGCTAAATATGAGTTTTTCAGCTCATAAACAAAAGATGAGCTTCTCAGCTCATAAATAAAAGATGAGCTCATCAGTTCATAAACATAAGATGAGCTCTTCAGCTCATAAAAGTAAGATGAGCTTCTCAAACTCATAAAATCACGATGAGCTCCTCAGCTCATAAAATTAAGATGGGTTCTTTAGTATATAGAATTATAGCGAGCTCTTTAGCCCGTAAAAATATGAGTCCTATAACTCATAAAACATGCCACAGAACAAAGAATTCACACAGCAAATCCACTGCTTATAAGCACATATAAAAGAGCAAACGTTCAACAACAAATGAAAGGAAATTACAAAACAGTATGAAGAGGTTTGTCTCTCGAGGAACGAAAAAGAAAAGATGAAGGGTTATACGCTCTCCCAAGGCTCTCCTTCAGCTCAGTTATTTCCTTCTCCAGTGAAGCGTTTGCATCCCGAAAACTCGCATTCTCTTCCCTTAGCTCATCTCTCTCCTTCTCCACCTCCGAAATCAAATTCATAAGTTTTTGCCCAGCTGAAGAAAATAGCATTGCTCCCAAAGAAGATGCAGACGAGGGAGAAGAGGAGTCATTCCTCTTGCGCTTCCTGGAAGATGTACTAGCATCCTCGTCCTTATCCGATTCAAGAGGGAAAGGATCAAGAGAGTCATGGAAAGAAACAAAGTCCATAGCAGCTGCCACAACACTGAACAAGAAAAGGTTATCTGAGGTCACCAGCTCAAAAAAAGGCATAGGCTTAGCATGGACCATCTGTTCAACCTTCATCGCCTCCACCAGGTCCAGATCAGGTGCACCTGCAAGAAAAAAAAAATTCAATGAGAACAAGCCATCGTGGAACCTAGCTAGTGAAGGCACTTAAGACACTTACATGTATAAGAATAGCTCCTTCAGGATCGAGGGACCCTACATTCCATGTAGTGCAGCTCAGTGGATCTCCAAGAATCCCCAGAAGCAAAAAAGAAGCACTGAGCCCATCCCTCTAGAGAGGGAGGAAGGTTAAGAATTAGAGGCAGCAGTTTAAAACGCCTCCACCAAAAACAAAAAAAGCAGGGAGCCTTATCCTCTTAAAGATCAAAAAAATAAAGAAACTCAGCCACTGTAGGAAAACTTGTTATTGCCTCGTAAGCGCCAGAAGAGGAAAAAAGCTAATCATGGCAGCCCATCCTTTGGGGGAGAGGCAAGAAGGGCACAAGCCACAGTGAGCCAGGATAAACCCAATAGAGGGGTGAATGAGAAGGAGCAGGTCCATCTCCAAAGCTCCTTCGAAGAAGCAAATCTCCCTTGGAGGAAGATAGTTGCAAGGTTTGTCGGGGGAGGGAACTCGAAGGGGCAGGTCCAAGTCAGGGAAGAACCGCTTCTTGATCCCTTCCAAGTCAGAAGATGTCATCATTGAAGGGACTAAGTAGCGAGAATGCCACTTCCATTCGATCCCAAAAGAAGTTCATTCCTTGAACAGAGAAGAGAGGGGGCAGCCATTAGAAATCCAAAGGGGAGGAAAGCGAAGAACAAAAAACCTTTAAGATTTAAGAGAAAACTCTAAGATAAAAGAAAATCCAAGAATTTATGGAAACTCCGCAAGGACACCGAGTTTTAAGGAATCAAGGAACACACGAAGGACTAAGTCAGCGGACCTTTTGGTTTCCAAATTAAGGAGGCAATAACGCTTGTGGAAGGTAGTTGGGCACAGAAAACAAAGCGGGCCAACTCTCAACTCTATCATCGCGATTTTGTTAGCCTAGGTCATATCAGAAAGACCTCTGAGCACAGTTAATATGACCCTGCGCTAGCTGGAGCTTAGGGCTCTATGGCTACTAGAAGGAATCCTAACTCTGTAGTAAGGTAATGTGAAAATTGATCATCTTGATGACCTTAGCACCGAAATAGAAGAATTCTTGAGGATTGACGCTGTTCTCAAAAGTAGAGAACTCTTCCCAGTAAACTTCTTGTCACTATGAGGGAGGTCAAGTTCCATCGTTCCCTTAAAAGCACCAAACAGCAAGAAAGAGCTCTCTAAGGGTAAGACCTCGCAGTTCTATTAACCTCTTTAGCTCCACAGCTATTTGAAAACTCTTGGAAAAACTACTTTAATAAGAGCTAAGTCCTCCTTGCAAAAGACCATAACGCAATATACCGCTAGCTTTTCAACTTCTCCAACCTCATTTGCTTCAAGAGGATCCGAAGAACCCCTTGAAGCAAAGGGGGAAAGAGGGGCCAAGAGGAGTATAGGGAAAATTGGAGCTAGGTGTATAGTAAATAGGGGAGTGTAAAGTAAAGCTAAGTAGTGCACACAATAACTCAGAGACAGTAGAGGCATCAATAATTTAGGAAAGCAATATGCATGAGCATTTCCCAAATAGAAGTTCGAATATAACAATTCAGCTAAAAAAAAAAAGAAGAGAATTTTCTAGGCTTCTATATTATGAATAGGTGGAGAAGAGCTTGGCAGCTCAGCTGTTGATGTTTCCATAAGAGAAGTGTTCGGAAGCTCGGCTGTAGGAGCCTTTAAAGGAATAGAGCTTAGCAGATCGGTGGTTGAAATTTCTAGGAGCTCAGGAGCAGGTGGAACAACAGAGACCTCGACTTCAGCTATCGGCAAAGTCAGATTATGGGCTTGAGCCGCGAGGACAGCTGAAGCAGAAGGATCTCTAGTTGTTAAGACAGGAGCAGTTGCAGAACTGGAACTTGTAGAAATGATTGAAGAGGAGGAAACACCTCGAGCTCGAGCCTCAGTAGGTGGAATAGGCACCCTAACCCCTTTAGGAACTGCTTCAGAAGCAGAAGGGGTCAAGACACTGGCCTCAGTGTTAACTGCCTCAGTCTCTTCATCAGCTGAGATCTCAAAATTGAAATTCAAGCCAAGGTAGGTCAACTCAGCTTTGTCTTGGAAAATGAGCCAACCAGTGGCCCACTGAGTAGTAACGTCGTCAGCTAATTTAGCAATTAGATCATCCTTCTTTTGAGCTGCAGCCCTCTATACCTTGAGCTCATTTAGAAGAAAATCGCTTGTCTCTGCTAAGATGTCATATTCTCTTTTCATGGCCCTATAGGAGCTCAAGGCCTCGAGACTCTCTCGGCTGGCCTTAATCCAGTCATCTGTTCTTTGTCTGCTCAGAGCTCCTCCTTGGTCTCCCTAAGCTCCTCCTTTATCTTCCCAAGCTCTTATTTGAAGTGCTTACCCTTACTTTCAATCTTCTCTTTCTCAATCTCTAAGTCTTTGTTGAGGGAGGTCTGCCTCTCTATCTACGCTTGCAAGTAGGGGTGTCAATTTTTGACTCGAACACAAACCTGACTTGAATCGAATCCGATAAGAACCCGAAAATAACACGATTCGTTGACACGAGAAATAAATGAGTCAAATTAAGGTTCAACACGAATAACACGATGAGTACTGTAGATAAAAAATAATTATTTAATGAGTATTTTAGATATAAAATAAGAATTTTATAATTTTTTAAATAGTATTGTATTAGTTGTTGTCAAATTAAATAATTTTTTATTAACACGAATATTGACACCAACCTGACACGTACCGAAAGTGATACGACACGAAAATAACACGACTGAAAGTGACACGACATGAAACTGATACAACACGACATGATTGACACCCCTACTTGCAAGTCCTGGACTTGGGCTTTAAGGCCAATGTTTTCAAAAGACAGCTAAGCAACCTTGATTTCGAAAGCCTTGGAAGCTTTGACAGACCCTTCTAAAGCTTGGATCCTTTTCAACAAGCCGCTTATATGAATGGCTATCTAAGAGCAAAACACAACCCCCAAAAGGCTAGAGTCAGCATGAGGGAATGGTGCAAGGTAAAAAAGAAAGCCGAAAGGCCAGAGACTTACAGAGGTAGCGCCGAACAGGGCAGTAGACATGGAAGTTCCTAGGGGCATACTTGTCACCCTCTAGATATCAGATTCTGGAATAATGGAGGCAATGGCCTCTGCAGCCCGCTTGATGTTGTCAATTAGGGAGCCTCACCTATCTCATCACTGAGGAGCTTCCTTGTCTTGCTCTTAACCTTGGGGAGCAGAGAAGAGGATTTCTCAATAGGGCAAGGAGGAGCAAACTTAGGCAAAATGTGAGAGACTATCTTCAAAGCTCTCTTAACCTCTGTCGAGGAGGGAGATATCAAAACTATGCTTTTCTCAGAGGTCCTTCTAGAAGATGGCAACCCAGTCTCTTGTGGAAGAGAGGTCTGGACAACCTTTAGGGAGCTTGAAGGAGATAAGGGGTCCGCCTGAGGCAGTTGGGGAGAAGAAAAAGGGGCCTCCAACCTGGGTACCTTGGTTGGGGAGGCTGGATCACTCCCAAATCCAACCTCAGTCTTGCGTTTGTTCCCATTCCTGGTTTTCTTGAACAAGGCCACTTTGGCCATGTGATCCTTTGATGTGGGCTCCATTGATGAGGAACCTAAGAATTGAGGACAGATAGATTAGAAGAAGAGGCAGGAGAAGGAGGGTAAGAAGTGATAAGAGTTGAGAGCAAGAATATCACCTGTCATTCCTTCAGCTCCAGCAACAGAAATGGGAACAGGGGTTTCGATCCTCACTACTAGAGGGCTAAAACCCAATTTTATAAACTCAGAATAGTCAGTCAGAGTGGAATACCTCTCCAATTTTCAATCTCTAAAGGTCAGCAGAACTCTCCTATCCTCAACTCCTAGCTCAGGACGAACGCCTAGAACAACCAAAGAAATGAACTCAGCATACAACGTTAAAAAGAGAAAAAGAGGGGCTTTTTTTTGGAATTTCAAGCTTACCCAGGTTGTCTGGACCTGCTCAAGAATGCGGAACAGGAAGGGAGTCAGTGGCATCGCTGGGATTAAATTCTCATGCCTTCCCTGACACAAAGAAAAACTATTTCTTCCAATTCTTATGAAAGCTGGACAGGTCAGTGATCAAGGCTAGTGTTTTCACCCGCTTGGAAATGTACAAAAAACTATTTGGATTGAACTTGACATTGAATAATTTCATGAGCAGTGGGATAGAAGGGGTGCCAAGTTTGTTTTTCTTGAAAAAGACCAGAAGATCCACTAGGATCCCCCAAAAGTTATAAGAGATTTGAGCAGGACAGACATTAAAATGTTGGAGGACAGACTTGATAAAGCGATGCACAGGAAACCTAAGCTCGTTCTCGAAAGAAGCTACAAAAAAATAGGTCATCTCTGGGACCACAGAGTCATATCGGGTAAACTCATCTGGGCACCAGAATTCTACATCCTGGGGAAAATCAAAGGGAGCAGCTAAGACCTTTATCTGAGGAAGAGAGACTTCACTAGCACCAACGAGCTCTACAACTTTGGATACAACCCCTACGTCCTCAGCGCAGCCTAAGACCCCTACGTCACTCACCTTGGCCTTACCTTTGTTGGGGTTTTTAGGCATTGGGGAAGACGAAGAAGAGAGATCCTAGACATTTTCCTCAATATTGACATAATCGATACCAGAAAAGCTATCAATCTCCTCTCCTACGTCACCCAAATCAGAATCCTCTACTTTAGGAGACTTGTTCCCCATGAGGGAAACAGATTAGCCTATGGCTTCGAAAGAAACAAACATAGCTGGGCAAGAATAGGGGAGTCGAAAAGACCTATAAAGGGGAGGAATCTCTGAAAAACACTCCCTGAGGGTCAAGGGGTCAACACAACAACTGCCAATTAGAAAAATTTTAGCCATAGAGTAAGGATCAAGAAAGAGAGGAAGACGAGACAAAGAGTAACACCGATTCCTAAAATAGCAAAATAAAAAAGTCCAGAAATACAACAACCACCTTAGATTCGAGGGATCCAGAACGAAGGGACAAACGATGGCTGAGAAGCATACCTAGTTAGAGAAGACAAATCAAAATCCCAGAGTGGAATCAGGAGGTGAGTCTTATGGAGCCTTCAAGATTGAATCCAGAGGAGAGGAGGTTCAGCAAAACCCTAAGCTTGTTAGTAAGATGGGAAAGTAAAGAGTGTAGAAAAATAGGAAATCAAAGGCCAAAGGAAGAAGGTGAATAGGAAGTTTTGGTGATTTTTGTTGCTGTGTGAGTATTTAAAGCTCGAAAAACATGGGTTATAATGTGCGCGGGAAAAGAGAAAATGGATGATTTTTGAAAATAATCGAAAGGCAACTTTCACGCGCGAATCGAGGTTGTCTTGGAGGTTCTACTTCGACTCAACTCTAACTCAGCCCCTGGTCAAACCCATTTTGATCAGGGACTGGGGGGGGGGCAACTGATGATATCTAGAAGAAATTCCAAGAATGAGCTCGAGTATGGAGGTTAGACTAGTAGAGCGAGTCAGCTGTCCAGAGCTCTTATGGCCAGACCTGAGGCTCCCCTCAGAGAAATCAGGAGAAAAATCAAGGAGGAGACAATTGGCGCTCCCAAGAAAACAGAAGACTATAAACAAGGCACATGACTCTTAACTAACCAAGATTCTCTCCAGGAATCAAGGGAGATCCCATGAATGAAGGGCAGAAATCTCCTTGTATATCCCTTAGTAATAGGAACATGACTATAAATACTGGACAATGCCTCAAAGGTAGAAGGAGGAACCTTAGTATTATCAGAACTACTTTGTAAATCGCAACCGACAGGTATATAAACTTAATATATCATAGTCATTGAGTTGTTAACAAATTTGACTTTTTGTCAATCCAATAGCAAAGAGCGATTTGGTGAATTTACAAGCTCTAAAATTCTATATAAATTGATGATGCTCGAAATTAACTCACCCAATAATAGACCAATCTAGGTTGTAGCCCAGAGGGAATGAAAATGTGTCTATGAGATAGAAAGCGTGCTAAGTGTGGCAGGTGAGATAAAGGCAATAATATGACTAATTCATCTCAGTCAAAAAACTAATGCTATATTTACTGAAAGAGAGACTATTGTTTATTGGGAATTGTATTGCTTAAGAGAGAAGGTTGTTGTTACAAAATATTTAGCTGAAAATTTTTTACAAAATAGTTCTTAGATTATTGTTGGGTGACCTTTTTCATATATATTTTCACAATGACATCGTTTGCTATTTAGATATCTCGTCACTAAAGTTTCGTGATAGTTTTTTTTTTGGTTGGTTATGTGGTCTCTTCTTTATTTGTCATACTATTGGGTATTCGTTCGTTAAAATTGTTAATTACTATCCCCTTATTTCCTATCCCCGTGTCGTGATACGGTTGTTGACGAATTGCCTGGTGCTGAGCTCCTCACTCTCGAGCGGGTATGTGTACCGAGTTTGTCTATGCCAAGCTAACATATATTCTGAGTCGGGGTATTGCTGATATCAATGAAACTGGACTGTGGTTTAGCTTGAGTCCAGTAAATGCTATATGAACAAGACGCCTGAGTCATCTCGCGTGAACTCAAAAAACGTTCTAAACTTTGAAAGAGATCCAAACTTAAATTCATTGTCGTCATTGTAAACTATTGAAGAACGAATATTAACGCATTTTATTACTGTTGATTTCTCTCCAAAACGTTCATTTAAATATTTTCAATCTTCACACGCCTCGTCTCTTCACTTTGCCGGCTATATTTTCGCGCCAGAAATGAGAATCGCTGAAATCTCGTCGCCGGAGATCCGGCCAAGCAATCACGATCCCCTATCCCACATTCTCTCACATATTGAATCATCAATCAAAGAACTCGAGTGCTACTCCCCTGAAACTCCGTTGCCCGACTCTCTATCATCCGACCTACGAATCGCCTTGATTCAGCTCAGTCAATTGGCTCCGTTCCCGAACTCAGTCAAGCTCCAGATCTGGAAACTCAGTTACCGCCTCTGGAACGCTTGCGTCGACAACTCCAACGCCGCCGGCGTCAAATCCTCAAGCCACAAACTTAGCGAATCACACGCAAAACTCCGCCAAGTCTCCGCCGATCTCCTCTTCCTCGCCGGCGAAGTTGCCGGAGTTCCATCTCCAGCTTTCAAGTCCGCTCTATTCTTTTACAAAACCGGCTTGATCTGGCACGACCTTCGGAAATTCGATCTCGCCAACAATTGCTTCGAAAAAGCCACCGATCTCACCTCAAAAACTGAAACCAATGGAAAATCAGAATCTGAAGAGCGAAAACTACTCTTAGATCTCAATATTGCTCGATCGAGGACGGCCTGGGAGATTTCAGACCGAAATTTAGCAATTACTTTACTTAATCGAGCGAAAAATGTACTTTTCGGAATTGCAGAGAATTATAAAACCCTTGCGAACCAGTACTTGATGTTCGGAAAGAGTATTCTATCGAATAATGAGGTTAGTGGTGCGAATGAAGCGGTGAAATTGATGAACGAGGCTTTCGATTTGAGTGAGAAAGGATTGAGAATTGTGAAAGGGACAGAGGAAACCCTAGCGTTGAAGGAATTGAGATCGAAGACGCTTAGATTTGTATCAGCGTCGCATTTACAGAGAGATGAGTTCGAGAGTGTGCTGAAATGTGTTAAGATTCTAAGAGATGGCGGCGGGGACCAGCACCCGAGTTTGAGTGTGTTGGCCATGAAGGCGTGGTTGGGATTGGGAAGGTATGGGGAAGCTGAGAAGGAGCTAAGGGGCATGGTGGTAGATAAGGGGATACCGGAAGGCGTTTGGGTGTCTGCAGTGGAGTCATATTTTCAGGCAGCGGGAGCTGCCGCCGCAGAGACGGTCAAGGGCTTGTTTTTGGGGCTCTTGGGGAGGTGTCATGTAAGTGCTGGGGCGGCGATCAGGGTGGTGAATAAGGTGGTTGGGGACAGTGGTGGTGGTGAGGGGCCCAGAGTGAGGGCTAAGGTGGTGGCTGAGCTTGTGTCGGATGAGAGAGTCGTGGCACTTTTTGCCGGAGGGGCCGCTGCAAAGGAGCGGACGGCAATGCATGCTCTTCTGTGGAACTGGTAAACACTATCTTTCCCGCCAACAGCGTTCATATTGTATAATATATGGTCAGGAATACTTGTGGAATATGGCAGTTAATACATAAAACTGACACTAATTAGTTCTACTTCATAGAAACTTCTACTATAACACGAAACAATGAACCATAACACACCGAAGAAACAAGTATTCAACCATAATACCTGTATCAATTGGGGTTTACCAACGAAACCTTTAGGAAGGATTTCTCAACACAGCCACTGTGTTGTCAAAATTTCATTTTTCCAATCATAGAAAGGATGTTTTCAACCATAGAATGAATATGTGATTTATAATTTGAGACTATTGGCTTCGTATTTAAGTCGAAATCTTGAACATGGAAGCAGTCTTTATAATTTTATTTTTTGAGCTGCTGATCTCTTCCTAAGATGTGTGTACCTCGAAGATTAGGCCCAAAAAAAAAAGGGAAAATCCTCCACTCTACATTCTTCTTTTAAATGAGCCTTCGGTAACATATTTTTCGCTTCACACTGCAGCATAGCTTCAGATTTTACTATATACATTGTAGACATTTGGAATGAAAACATGTAGTTTAGTCTGCTTTATTTGATCAAAATTTGTAAAAGTGAAAAGCCTGTGTCATTTTTATGCTTGTTGAAGACACAGATAGCTATGTGGAACCCAACATGAAATGCATTCTTCATGGGAAAATGTGAATCTTGAGAAATGAAAATCTTAATGCAAATATGTCTATGAAACTTGTGAGGTCAGGGGTGAAAGCATGTTAATTTTTTGAGAATTCTTCAGTCAACAATTGTAATTTTTAGGCAATGTCGCAAGAAACCTGGAAGATGATAGTTGCATTATTAATCTTGCAGCCAGCTATAAGCCATTTGATAATAAGATGTAGGGTTCCTGTATCTGTAACCTCCGTCGAGTACGCAGTTAAGGTCGGTTAAAAGCTGGTGATTAGATGCATTCCTTTTCCGCAAATGCAACCTCTTGCAAAGAGAAATGTAAATAAACAGGTGATTAGATGCATTTCTTTTCAGCTTAAGAGATTTTAGTCTTTTTTTTAATTCTGTCGTGTAGTGCTGCTGAACTTTTTCGATCAAAAGATTACGAGGCCAGTGCTGAGATGTTTGAGAATTCAATGCTTTATGTCCCGTATGATATAGAAAATAGAATCCTTCGAGCAAAGGGCTTCAGAGTGTTGTGTCTCTGCCATCTTGGCCTTTCCCAGTTGGATCGAGCTCAAGAATATATTAATGAGGCTGAAAAGGTACGCCGATCATACCTTCAAGCTGGAGTTATAGTGATGGCATCTGGATAACTAAATCCTTTTCAGCCTGAGCTATTTTTAATATCCTCATGACCTTCTTATTTTATGCAGCTTGAACCCAACATTGCCTGTGCTTTCCTTAAGGTATGGTCTCTAGGGTGCAGCTCCTCTGCTGTAAGGCAAAAACAGCACAGTGTGCTGTTATAGGAAACGGCGCCGTTTTAATTAAGTTTTGCGGTTAAAAATTTTTCTCCAAAGAAAAAACGAGACAAGCCTTTAAAGATTCCCCTTCTCACCCTCTCCCTCTAAAAATTAGTCTCTCTCTAAAAGAGTCTTCCACCTGAGCTAAGTCTCGCCCAGCCATTGCATCATCTCCTCTGCCGTATCCCTACTGGAAAACTCATCCCGCTCCACCTTACCATTATAAAACTCCACTTTAAACCCTCCCTCTTTTACATCAAGTACCAAGGGTTTACAGCAAATTCATATTTAACCAATTAAGGAAAGAAATCTGGATCTGCAACAATAGAGCTGTGCATTTCTCTTGAAAAAGAGTCAGGTCTAATGTTGATGTTGAAAGTCATTCATTGGTGAGGAGAATGATTGCTGAAAGAACTGTCAACAAAATTGGTGTGATAAACATCGTGAAAGGGTTTTAGTGGGCGATAACTTCTGTCAAATTTTGTAGAGAGGGGATTTGTTGGAGTGAAATTAGCAGCAATATTGTGTGTGTGTGTGTGAGAGAGAGAGAGAAGGGTCTGAAATCTGCAAGGTTTGTGCAGAGGAGCTTGGCAAGGGTTACGGCAAAGAGAGAGCTAGCTCCACTGCTTTGTTCTTCGGGAAAAAATTTTACCGTGCAAAACTTAATTAAAACGTGGTCGTTTCCTCTAACAGCACACCATGCTGTTTTTGTCTAACCGCAGAGGAGCCACACCCATGGACTCTCTCTCTCTGGACAGCACACACCTGCCTTATTGTTACACACAGACCTTTTGAAACCTGCCATGTTTGGTCGAATGGGTGCAGAGTTTATATTCAAAGTTGACATGTTTTTGGTCCATCCAGTTAATTCCTATATATTATTTCATATAGAAGTTTACTTGTATGTGATATGCGCAGTTTAAGATCTACCTGCAAAAGAATGAGCTCAATAAAGCTATTGCTCAGATGCAAGCAATGTCAACCTGCCCTGATTTCAGTCTAGACTTCCTCTCCCTTTCTGCTCATGAAGCTGTTGCTTGCCGTGCTCTATCGGTTGCTGTCGCATCTCTATCCCATCTGCTAAATTTTTACTCCGTAGGGAAACCAATGCCAATGACTGAAGTCATGGTTCTTCGTACCCTAGTCACAGTCCTAATGCAAGAGCCTGACAACGAGTCTGATATTCTTAAATATATGAAACGAGCTCATGCTCGGTTGTCTGAACTTGGACCTGACAGCTTCCTTGGGAAAGGCGAAGTTGGAAGACGGGAATGGAATTGGTTTGCAGTAAACTTATGGAATATTGGCGCAAGAACTGGGAAGGAGAATAAGTACGAATTGTGTGCAGAATTCTTTAGATTGGCATCAGAGTTTTTTAGTATTAAGGTTGATGGCGAAGTGGAGGGAAATAATGTGATGGTTTGCAAATCACTGATATTGACTGTGTCTGCCATGATAGCTGATGAGAAGCAAAGAAATGCAACATTGCTGGATACTGAAGTCAAACAAGCCATTGAACTGCTAGATAGAGCTGGAAAGGTAACAATCAGCTCTCGAATTGTGTCATAAATTGTGCACAGAAGTTTCAGTCAGAGATGGGGTAATTCAGTTAAAATACAGCTTTTATTTGATGACTTTCATGGTTGGTTGCAGATACTATCGTTAATTTCAGCTGGAACTCGATCAGGTGATGATCAGATCACTGCTGTGGGGTCCAACTTCTTCTTTGTATACACTTGGACTTCGTATGATCTACATTCAAGGCTCAGTGATGTGGGATCTCAGCAGCTCCTCCTGATAAAGAGCTTTGCTAGCTCAAAGTTTTGCAATCCAATGTACCTCCTTCAGCTAGGCGTTAGTGCCTCTCAAGGGCCAAGGTCCAACCCTGAAGTAGCTACCTTCTCCTTAAATACGTGCCTCTCGTCCCTCCTCGCTTCCCCTTTGCCAGATTATCAATGTGTGGCTCTTGTTCTCAGGAAACTGATTTCTGTGGTTGCCATTCATAAGGGGAATACAGATGATGATGTAGTTTATGGGGCATACAAGCAAGCATACCGGATCATGGTGGGGTTGAAGGAAGGGGAGTATCCGATTGAAGAGGGGAAATGGCTTGCCATGACAGCATGGAACCGCGCTGCTCTCCCCGTGAGGCTGGGGCATGTTGAGTCAGCAAAGAGGTGGATGGATATTGGATTGGAACTGGCTGGGAAGGTTCCGGGAATGCAAACTTATAGGTCATGCATGGAAGATTTCGTTGCTGGCTTTGAGAAGAAATTTCATGCCCATGACAAACCTGAAAACAGGTCTCTAGTAGTAACATAATTTGCAAGTCTTCATCTTGTACAGAAGATCAATGGTACAGCTTCAAGGTCTTGGGACTCTTGCACAAATGGCTATCGGTACAATCCATTCTTTTTGATGTCCAGTTGAGACTTTATGCACCTAGCCCCGCCTTCTGTCTTCAGATTCTGATACGTGGATAGCAAAAGCAGATTTCTCGTACGTATGCAATGCATGGAATGCTTCAAGTTATCGGATTTTGTCATTTACATACTTAATGGGGAAGTATGCACACACGCTAAGATGCAGATCTCAATGTCATTGCTTAAAAACTGAAAAAAAAAAAAACAGATCCCTCACATAGATTAGAACTTCTATTTGGTAATACTAGATATTTTTGCTAATAAAGATTAATCTTTTTCCCCAAACAGTTTTTGTTAAAAGTAATTTTCTTGGATTATATTTTGGTTTGTTTAGAGTTTCCAACTATAGGCATGCTAGCAAATAACGACTTCTTAAGAATCCCTTTATATTTTTTTATTGCTCTAAAATTTGTTGCGATCGAAAGAAATGTCTCAATCGACAGACATTTCTCAAGCGATTGTTTGTGGATGGGTTCTACTGTCTTGTTTCAGGACTTCATTAGATGAAATTCAATAACAAAACACACAAAAAATTAAGCTAACAAAGAAATATGCCTTTATTAATTCAATCGAGTAGGTTTCAATTACAAAGTGATTAATTTAATAGCCTTTGATTACAACACTAATTACTTCCTAAAAACTAGCTCTAATACTACTTCTAAATGCCTTGATCGTGGGTTTTGTGTGGGTTTAAGTTGTTGTTCGTCTTTCTCTTTTCCTTCTTTTATAGCCATTAATTTCGATAGTTTTTTCCTTATCGACGGTTATTTGGCTTCGTAATTTCTAAACAGTTTTTTCCTCTTTCAATCTAGAATTGTGGCTGATTGTTTCCTGCTTTTTTTTTAAATCTTGAAAATTCTTTAATGATTTTAGGCTTGCCAACTACACATGCATTGAATGTTTTCATAATTTTTTGTTTTATGTCCAAACAATGCCCTCTCATTTAATTGGATTTGTTCCTTAATCAAGCCAAGTAAATGAACCATCATGTCTGTTGTCTTTTCTCACTGTTTCTTAAGATGTCTTTCAATAGTTAATTTGTTCATTTCAAATAAACAATTGAACAGTTGGTAACCACCAGAAAACCCTCAACGCACCTATTTAAAAGGTTCAGTTATTGTGGAAGTCCTCATCTATTCTATTCCTTACTTTTGATAATCTTCCTTGGCTTGTACTCAATTTTAAAATTCTCCTTGACTTTTGATGACATACAAACGGAAAGCAAGTTGTTCTACTTCTGTTAGTTCTCCTCCATGCATGTCTCTTGCTCTTTGGTTCTCTGTGAGGCTTAGATATGCTGTTTGGGATTCAATCGACGATCAAATTCTTATCCCCTCTGAAGATCCTGGGGCCAATTTTGCTTTAGGTCTAGCTTTCAAATCCACCATGCTCCCGGCATTGTTTGAATGCTACCTTATTTCTCACGGAGAAGTCTTTGCACTCCATCGCTTCCATCTCTAAAGGCACTGGGATCAAGGGCTCACTTTTTTGAAAACTTGGATTGACCTAGACCAACAATGGTTTGATTGGGTAACACGAAAGGAGGCGCATTTCTCTGACCAATGGAAATAACAAAGGATCTATGAACAGATCAAACTATTTACTTGTCCTTTTTCCATGAATCGCTAGCTCGTAGGCATAGCAATCTGTTTCTGGTCAAAATCTTGTAATGCCATGCTCTTTCCTCTTGGTATGATGTCTCCTTTCATTCTTGACGTCGTGTTGTGCACTTAACAGGGCTTCTATAGACTAGTATTGAGGTAATTGCAACCTTAAAACCAAATTGCATCTTGGTAGACATTCCTACCAATTTTAGCTATTCCAACCATGTCTTTTTCTTCTGTAGGCCAAACTCTGGTTCCCTTTCCAATGAAGAACATGTTACTTTCCTTCTATGTTGACTCTGTCACTTTGTCCTTTATATTCCTAACCTTCAAGTCACAACTGAATATCATAACATTGCTATTTTCCTCACTAATGGTCACATTATAGCCTTTGCCCCCTTTGTTTTAAGAGCTCTTTATAACCTTTTTGATATGTTTGAGAGAGGCATTAATTACCTTTGTGGAGGTCCTTTATGGATTTTCCAATCATGGCTATATGCCTATTTTCTTGAAACTTGGGATGGCGAGTATCTTCCATTTCCAAAATTCTATCCTTTCAATTATGCCCATTACTTTCTTGTGTCAGTACCTTCAACACTACACAAAGACTTCAACTTCTATTTCAAAACATTTCATGATCTGGAGTTTACCAGGTATCCTTCTCTTTCTGGCCTTTCTTTGAATGCCTTTACTCCTCTCTTTGCATTGGAGCATTTTTTGATGGCTCCAATCCTTCTGATGAGCAATCCACTTTCTTCCATAACTTTTGGGAGATTTACTATTCTTGATTCAGTTTTTGAAATAGCCTCAAATCTCCCTTTCCTCTTCTGAGATTGTTGTTCTTAATGTACTTGTCTCTTGATCTTTTGCCAAACAATTTCTTTGGTAATCGATGGTCTAGTGGAATGGTCCATTTCTTATGTTTTTCCCATTCTTCCTTGGTGCTTAGTATCCCTTGCATCGCTTCATTATCTCAAGGAGATAATGGAAACTAGGATGATATCTCTCTTTGATTGGAAAGATGCATGGATTTGTCCCATCGAAAATTTTCTTATAGCCATTGTAGATTTGTACATCTTCTTCACCTCTGATGCTGAATTGGAGTCCTTCATCAGTGAACTCCTTCATTACATCATATAGTGGGATTGCATCAGGTTTGGCTATTTCTTTTGCACACTTGAAACACATTACTAGTGGTTCCTCCTCTTTGGGGCCAAGTCTGCTATGCACTGGGACCCTCATCTCTAGAACAATTCTCTCTCTGCTAGCCACAAAACTGGCAGATTCCATGCTTCCCTGCATATTAACAGAAACCACATTTTTGTTTATTTCCATGGGAAAAGGATCCTTGTCGATTTTCATGGTCTATTCCTCTTTTGCGGCATACTTAAGCATTTGCTTTGTATTAGGTCTTGCACTTGATTCCTAAAGGTGATGCAATTTTTAGTTGAATGTTTAAATGAATTATGCCATTCACAATACTTTATGTCCCTGAGATAAAATTGAGAACTTTTGGTTGATCCTCTCATCGAAGAGAGCATTAGACATCGATAGATCAAAAGAGTTTTGTTTAGAGGTCTGGGGTGTATCTTTCTTAAAAGGATGATTAAATGGCATTTCGATAGGGTTTTCAATCTTTTTTCAGGGTATCACACATGATTGTGATTTTCCTATGACTTGTGTCAAATGTATTTTAACTTCTTTATTGAAGTCTTGGAAATAAATTTCAAATGAACTATTTTTTCTTTGTTGTTCTTCCCTAAGCAACATTTCATATCTAGTAGCTCTATCTGAAAGTTCAAACAGGTCCTGAATTCCATTTCCTCAAATTTCTTTCGCAATTCGAAGTCCAAACTGTTTTGAGCTAATTTCACCAGTTCTACTTCAAGCAAGTAAACATGACATTTGTTTTTAGCTTTTTTTAAATCTGTCAATATATCTTGTTTTACAAATTCATTTGATTTGTATCTCAATCTAAACAATCTGCTATCGAGACTTCTGGTTCGTTTCTGAAAAATTGAGCATGAAATTGTTCCTTTATTTCTTGTCATGTTTGAATTGAATTAGCAGGCAAATTAATGAACCAAGCAAAAGTAGTTTTCATAAGTGATTGTGGGAACAATTTCATTTTTAAATTCCCATTGTGTCCAACTTCTTCACATTGGAAAGTAAATTTTCCTATGTGTTCTATTGTGGACTGACTTTTTTCACTAGATAAAAGATGAAATTTTGAGATTTTATAACTCCTTGGGAACTCTTCGTAATCAACCTATAGAGGGTATGATTTTCTGAACTTAGAACTCTCAGTCTTCCTTAGAATAGGGCCATATAGGTCTTGAATAATCTCCACCAATTAGTTTCTGTTGAAAATCACATTCTAGTGGCCATTGATGTGTTCCCCTTGATCAAAGGGTTGTCCCCTGTTCTTGGGTTGAATTCATCTATGAGTTCTAATGGAGGCATGACAAACCTTTCACGATCTCTCTTAGGATTTTGAGGGACCATCCTTGGTTCATTTCTTCCCTTAGGATTTCTTTCTGGAAAAAAGTTTGGAAGGACTGCCATAAGTTCTCCATCGAATATCATGTTAAAGTGATTTTAGTGTGGGAAACCTATTCTTTCACCAATAACCATTGGTGGTGGTCTTTGATTTTCTATAGGGAATACCATAGGAACAACATTTCCTTTATTCACCACTTGATTTCTAGTCACAACGTTTGATTTTTAAGTGAATGGTCTTGACAGTGGTGTTGGAACATTCAATAATTTATGCATGACATTAATTAATTCTTGCCTAATGTCAGAATTGGGGTTGTGTAATACCTGTTTCAAGTGCTGTACAAACTCCTGCATTTGCACACTTTCTTGGCCATTGGATAGACCATTCAATGGGTTTCCAAACTCCACAAGATAGGTACTCGAACTTGCTTCATGATTGCTATCAGCTGGCGTCATTTCCACAATTTCGTTAGTCTCAAACATGATCTTGTCTTATTCCCTTGTTTGCACCATGTTCCTTGATCCAAGTTAGTAATGATGTCTTATCGGATGTGTCAAAAGATTGTTGTTCCAAAATCTATTGCGATCGACATAAACGCCTCAATCGACACACAGCTCTCAGACGATTGCTTGTATATGGGTTCTACTGCCTCGTTTCATGGTTTCATTGGATGAAATTTGATAACAAAACACACAAAATACTGAATTAACAAAGAAATATGTCTTTATTGATTCAATCGAGTGGGTTTCGGTTACAAAATGACTGATTTAACAGCCTTTGATTACAAAACTAACCACTTCCTAAAAACTAACTTTAACATTACTTTTAAATGCCCTGATCATGGGTATTGTGTGGGTTTGAGTTGTTGTTTGTCTTCCTCCTTTCTCTCTTTTATAGTCACTACTCTCGACAGTTTCTCTCTTATCAACGGTTATTTGGTTTCGTAATTCCCAGACATTTATTTCCTTTTTCAAACCAGAGTTGTGGCTGATTATTTTCCGCATTTTCTTCAAATCTTTATACGTGACAATCGTTTAATAATTTTAGGCTTACCAACTACACGTGCATCGAATGCTGTCA